TATAGTGGTTGATGACCACTTCAGGGGATTAGATGAAGGCCAAACATCTTTCTGCAGCCTTTGATTCTGTTTATGAGATACTGTTGATATAACTGCAGGCCCTGGCAGAAGTAGCTAGAATTGCTCATTGCTTTCAGTTTAGTCCGCAAGGATGGGATTTATTGATTGCACCTCCTTCTCAAAATCTTTTAGATGTGACCTCATAAAGGACTAAATTATGTTGCTTCTCTTGTTGTATGGAAATGTTGGCGGGTGTGGGGGAAATCTCGCTCCCCTGGGGTATAGAGCCCCCAGAAGGATCCGAGGCAGGAGGTCAAATCAGTGAGGCAGGAGAGAAATCTAGAAGGAAAAAGCTTTATTATGCATGCATGCAGGCTGACAGCAGAGCAATAGCAGTCAGCACCGAGAGACAGTTTCAGGGATTCTTTATACAGTATGTTCAGACAGTAGTTGTTGATTGTTTTTCTTTAAGATATCAAAGTCTCAGCAGAAGTACTCTGAGATGTTTTTGGTCACACCAGGAGTGCTAGAAATAAGTTTTACAGTACACAAAGCCACATGAGAACTTGAGTGGAGGAGTCTACAAGGCAAACTGTGACAAAGATAAAGGTTTACATGACAAATTGTGACAGACTAGGAGTATTCATGAACTTGAGATAGGCATTGTAAGGGTCTTGATTAGAGTTAATTTGATTTCACTCTGATACAGGGAGGGAGACACAATTGGAGTTATTTGATTTTTCTCCCACAGGGGACCCTGTCTTGAGTACTGTCAATATGCTAATGATACTAGGCTCTACACTACTGCTTCATCTCACTCAAATATAATCTCTTCCATGCTCTCTCAATGTCTGGTAGAAGATCAAAGTCATTTAAAATTAATCTGCATAAAACAGGTGATGGGATGTGTTTTGACAAAATGGGAAAGTATATACTTACTAATTGGGACAGGGCAGCAAGAATATAATAATCTTCTGCTCTACAAATACAAATTATATTGTCCTTACTCAGGCAGAAAACTTCATTTGAATATATTTTGATCAACATAATTTTATGTATATGTTCTCTTTCATCACAATTAAAACTCCTTTAGTTAATGCTGCTGTGAGTCACCCACGTTCCCATGTGAAATTACTTTTCTTTGTTAGATGCATGAAAGACTGGAAGATTTTACATAAGGAAAGATGAACAGATACATTAGAACTGAAAATTGGGACTTAAAATTTATTTTTATAGAAGAGAAATAAAAGACAAAATATCATTTAAAAATGGTTTCTGTTAGGCAGCTACAAAAATCCCTGTGATTATTAACTAGAGTTGAACAAGCTATTCAGTACAGGCAGTCCCCGGGTTACGTACAAGATAGGGACTGTAGGTTTGTTCTTAAGTTGAATCTGTATGTAAGTCGGAACTGGCGTCCAGATTCAGCCGCTGCTGAAACTGATCAGCTTCAACAGTGGCTGAATCTGGGCGCCAGTTCTGACTTACATACAAATTCAACTTAAGAACCCCAGGCATCCCCAAGTCAGCTGCTGCTGAAACTGATCAGCGGCTGATTCCAGGAAGCCCGGGGCAGGGGCTTCCTGT